AACCAACCTTAATGACCCTCGTGAGTACATAGCCCTTGAAACCCCATTAACCAACCACCAGCCTTAATGACCCTCGTGTAGTAGATAGTCTTAAAACCCCATTAACCAACCAACCAGTCTTAATGACCCTCGTGTAGTAGATAGTCTTGAAACCCCATTAACCAACCAACCAACCTTAATGACCCTCGTGTAGTATATAGTCTTGAAACCCCATTAACCAACCAATTAGCCTTAATGACCCGAAGGCTTAGATTCCAGATGGAGGGTTGGATTCCAGATGGAGGGTTGGATTCCAGATGGAGGGTTGGATTCCAGATGGAGGGTTGGATTCCAGATGGAGGGTTGGTTTCCAGATGGAGGGTTGGATTCCAGGTAAAGGGTTGGATTCCAGATGGAGGATTGGATTCTACATGGAGGGTTGGATTCCAGATGGAGGGTTGGATTCCAGATGGAGGGTTGGATTCCAGATGGAGGGTTGGATTCCAGATGGAGGGTTGGATTCCAGATGGAGGGTTGGATTCCAGGTAAAGGGTTGGATTCCAGATGGAGGATTGGATTCTACATGGAGGGTTGGATTCCAGATGGAGGGTTGGATTCCAGATGGAGGGTTGGATTCCAGATGGAGGGTTATATTCTAGATGGAGGGTTGGATTCCAGATGGAGGGTTGAATTCCAGATGAAGGGTTGGATTCCAGATGAAGGGTTGGATTCCAGATGGAGGATTGGTTTCCAGATGGAGGGTTGGATTCCAGATGGAGGGTTGGATTCCAGATGGAGGGTTATATTCCAGATGGAGTGTTGGATTCCAGATGGAGGGTTGGATTTCAGATGGAGGGTTACATTCCAGATGGAGGGTTGGATTCCAGATGGAGGGTTGGATTCCATATGGAGGGTTGGATTCCAGATGGAGGGTTGGATTCCATATGGAGGGTTGGATTCCAGGTAGTGGGTTGGTTTCCACTAGAGGATCTGGTCCTCTTTAGTATCTTCCAGATCCTCTGTCTCATTTTCCACAGTCTTTAAAAGTTCGTTCTTATCTTTGTGCAGTCAACTCACACACTGAGGACCAGGGGTCGATCCCCGGTGCGGGTGGAATCATTAAGACGTGTTTCCTGAAGACACCTACTGTCACTGTTCACCTAGCAGTAAGTAGGTACCTGGGTGCTAGTCACCTTACACCTGCTGTCAATGTTCACCTAGCAGTAAGTAGGTACCTGGGTGTTAGTCACCTTACATCTTCTGTCACTGTTCACCTAGCAGTAAGTAGGTACCTGGGTGCTAGTCACCTTACACCTGCTGTCACTGTTCACCTAGCAGTAAGTAGGTACCTGGGTGTTAGTCACCTTACATCTTCTGTCACTGTTCACCTAGCAGTAAGTAAGTACCTGGGTGTTAGCCACCTTACACCTGCTGTCACTGTTCACCTAGCAGTAAGTAGGTACCTGGGTGTTAATCACCTACACCTGCTATCACTGTTCACTTAGCAGTAAGTAGGTACCTGGGTGTTAGTCTCCTACACCTACTGTCACTGTTCACTTAGCAGTAAGTAGGTACCTGGGTGTTAGTCACCTTACACCTGCTGTCACTGTTCACTTAGCAGTAATTAGGTACCTGGGTGTTAGTCACCTTACACCTGCTGTCACTGTTCACCTAGCAGTAAGTAGGTACCTGGGTGTTAGCAGACTGGTGTGGGTGGCATCCTGGGGGGACAAAATTACCCTAAGTCATGGGAAATGCTCTACATAACCAGGAACTTTCTATATAAGTATGTCATAGGTGTCAGCTATGGTCTGTATAAGTTGAATCATGTACTGGTAGAAATAAACATTATATTAAATTTTTTATTATTATTATTATTATTAGTATAGTAGTATGAGTAGTAGTATAGTAGTAGTATAGTATAGTAGTATAGTAGAGTTGTTGTAGTAGTTTTGTAGTATAGTAGTAGTAGTAGTAGTAGTAGTTGTAGTAAGTAGTAGTAGTTGTTTTGAGTTTGGTAGTAGTAAATAGTAGTAGTAGAGTAGTAGCAGTAGTAGTAAGTAGAAATAGTAGTTAGTAGTAGTAGTAGTTGTTGTAGTAAATTTTTAGTAGTAGTAGTAGTAGTAGTAGTAGTAGTTGTAGTATTGTTGAAGTAGTAGTAGTAGTAGATAGTTGTTTGTAGTATTAGTATAGTAGTATTGTTGTGTGTATGTGTTTGTGTGTTGTTGTAGTGTATTAGAAGTTGTAAGTAAGAGATAGAAAGGGAGTATAATAGCATAGTATAGTAGTAGTAGTACAGTAGTATAGTATAGTATAGTAGTAGTTGTTGTAGTAGTTGTTTGTAGTTTGTTGTAGTAGTAGTAGTAGTAGTAGTTTGTAGTATAGTAAGTAGTAGTTGTTTAGTATTGTTGTAGTAGTAAGTAGTAGTAGTAGTAGTAGTTAGTAGTAGTTTTGTTGTTAGTAGTTGTTGTAGTAGTTTAGTAGTATGTAGTAGTAGAGTAGTAGTAGTAGTATAGTAGTAGTTAGTAGTAGTAGTAGTTTTTGTAGTAGTTGTTGTAGTAGGTAGTAGTAGTATAGTAGTAGTAGAAATAGTAGTTGTTGTTGTAGTTGTTGTAGTAGTAGTAGTAGTAGTAGTAGTAGTAGTATAGTAGTAGTAGTAGTAGTAGTAGCAGTTTGTAGTAGTGTAGTAGTATAGTAGTGTAGTATAGTAGTAGTAGTAGTAGTTAGTAGCAGTAGTAGTAGTAGTAGTAGTAGCAATAGTAGTAGAGGTTTGTAGTAGTAGTAGTAGTAGTAGTATTTTTAAATAGTAGTAGTAGTAAATTTGTAGTAGTAGTAGTAGTAGTAGCAGTGTTGTTGTTGAGTAGTAGTAGTAATTAGTAGTATAGTAGTATAGTATAGTAAAATAGTAGTAGTAGTATAGTAGTACAGTTGATAGTAGTAGTAGTAGTAGTAGTAGTAGTAGTAGCAGTAGTAGTAGTAGTAAATAGTAGCAATAGTAAGTAGTGTATAGTAGTAGTAAAATAGTAGTAGTAAGGGTTTTTAGTAGTAGTAGTAGTTAGTATTAGTAGTAGTAGTCGTAGTATTTAGATAGTAGTAGTAAAATATTTGTAGTATAGATTAGTTATAGTAGTATAGTAGTAAATAGTAGGGAGTATAGCAGTTGTTGTGTTGTAGTAGTAGTTAAATAGTATAGGTGTAGTAGTTAGTAGAGTATAGATAGTAGTTATTTGTAGTAGTAGTAGTAGTATAGTAGTTAGTAGTAGTAGTAGTAGTTGGTAGTAGAAGTAGTAGAGTATAGCAGTAGTAGTAGTAGTAGTAGTAGTAGTAGTAGTAGCAGTAGTAGTAGTAGTAGTAGTAGCAATAGTAGTAGTGGTAGTAGTAGTAGTAGTAGTAGCAATAGTAGAGAATTCTTCTCTATATTCAGGGACTGACCCCTCTCATATACTACTGCTGCCTCTGTATTTGACTGAAGAGGCCCACTGTGTGGGCGAAACGTTTCATTAATAGAGACACACAACTGTTGCACATGTGTCTTATTCATCAATATATATGATAATTATACACATGTGTACATGTGCCTAAATAAAGTTACGTACAAGAAGGGCTTAAATGTTGAAGAATTGGGAGGTAAACATTGTGTGTGTTTGTTGTGTGTGTGTGTTTGTTGTGTGTGTGTGTTTGTTGTGTGTGTGTGTTTGTTGTGTGTGTGTTTGTTGTGTGTGTGTGTTTGTTGTGTGTGTGTGTTTGTTGTGTGTGTGTGTTTGGTTTTGGTCTCTGGCTGTGTTTACCTGCTTTAATATTGATGGTTGATGGGTGTCTGTGTTTGTTACCAGTTTTCTGTAAGAGGATTATGTAATGTTTGTGTGTGTTTGTTAGTGTTTGTGTGTATGTGTGTTGTGTGTGAGTGTGTTTGTTGGTGTGTTGTGTGTGCATGTGTGTTTCTTGGTGTGTATGTGTGTGTGTGTGTTTGTTGGTGTGTGTGTGTGTTTGTTGTGTGTGTGTGTGTTTTGTTGGTGTGTGTGTGTTTGTTGGTGTGTGTGTGTGTTTGTTGGTGTGTGTGTGTGTGTTTGTGTTTATGTGTATGTGTGTTGTGTGTGTGTGTTTTGTTGTTGGTGTGTGGTGTGTGTGTGTTTGTTGGTGTGTGTGTGTGTTTGTTGGTTGTGTGTGGTTTGTTGTGTGTGTGTGTGTGTGTTTTGTGTTTGTGTGTATGTGTGTTGTGTGTGTGTGTGTTTGTTGGTGTGTGTGTGTGTGTTTGTTGGTGTGTGTGTGTGTTTGTTGGTGTGTGTGTGTGTTTGTTGGTGTGTGTGTGGTTTGTTTGTGTTTGTGTGTATTGGTTGTGTTGTGTGGTGTGTGTGTTTGTTGGTGTGTGTGTGTGTGTGTGCATGTTGTTTCTTGGTGTGTATGTGTGTGTGTGTGTGTGTGTTTCTTGGTGTGTATGTGTGTGTGTGTGTGTTTTGTTGGGGTGTGTGTGTGTTGTGTTTGTGTGTTTCTTGGTGTGTGTACTCACCTAATTGTGGTTGCAGGGGTCGAGACTCAGCTCCTGGCCTCGCCTCTTCTCTCTCTCTGTGTGTTTGTGTGTGTGTGTGGGTGTGTGTGTGTGTTTGTGTGTGTGTGTTTGTTTGTGTGTGTGTGTGTTGTACTCACCTAGTTGAGGTTGCGGGGGTCGAGTCCGAGCTCCTGGCCCCGCCTCTTCACTGATCGCTACTAGGTCACTCTCCCTGAGCCGTGAGCTTTATCATACCTCTGCTTAAAGCTATGTATGGATCCTGTGGTTATGTGTGTGTGTGTGTGTGTGTGTGTGTGTGTGTGTGTGTGTGTGTGTGTGTATGTGTGTGTGTGTCTTTCACAGAGTTCTTAAGTGTTAAACTCCAGCTCTTGGAGAGAGAGAAAGAGACGCTGACATATAGACACAGAGACACGTAGAGACACGTAGAGACACGTAGAGACACGTAGAGACACGTAGAGACACGTAGAGACACGTAGAGACACGTAGAGAGAGAGATATACAGAGATGAACTCACCTTGTCGTAGAGGAACTGCGAGATAATTGTCGACTTGCCGACCCTGGCGTCACCTAGGAGGGTCACCTGGTACCTTCTCTTTGGTTCACCTCCTTCCAGTTGCACCTTAGGTGCCTCGCCCATCCTCTTGCAGTCACTGGGCATCTGTGGGCAGCGGGCACCTGATAGATAGTGTGAGTAGTAGGCACCTGATAGACAGTGCGAGAGAAACAGGTACCTGATAGACAGTGTGGGTAGCAGGCACCTGATAGTGTGGGTAGCAGGCACCTGATAGTGTGGGTAGCAGTCACCTGATAGATAATATGGGCAGCAGGCACCTGGTAGATAGTGTGAGCAGCAGGCACCTGATAGATAGTGTGAGTAGCGGGCACCTTATGGATAGTTTGAGTAGCAAGCACCTGATAGATAATGCGGGTAGCAGCACCTGATAGATAGTGTGAGTAGCAGGCACCTTATGGATAGTGTGAGTAGCAAGCACCTGATAGATAATGCGGGTAGCAGGCACCTGATAGATAGTGTGAGTAGCAGGCACCTTATGATAGTGTGAGTAGCAAGCACCTGATAGATAATGCGGGTAGCAGGCACCTGATAGATAGTGTGAGTAGCAGGCACCTTATGGATAGTGTGAGTAGCAAGCACCTGATAGATAATGCGGGTAGCAGCACCTGATAGATAGTGTGAGTAGCAGGCACCTTATGGATAGTGTGAGTAGCAAGCACCTGATAGATAATGCGGGTAGCAGGCACCTGATAGATAGTGTGAGTAGCAGGCACCTTATGGATAGTGTGAGTAGCAAGCACCTGATAGATAATGCGGGTAGCAGGCACCTGATAGATACTGTAAGGAACAGTGACCTGATAGATAATGGGGTCAACTGTGACCTGATAGATAGTGTAGGGAGGACAATGAACATTATAGAATTGTGTACATATATATTAAACTCACTCTCTCTCTCTCTCTCTCTCTCTCTCTCTCTCTCTCTCTCTCTCTCTCTCTCTCTCTCTCTCTCCTCTCTCCTCTCTCTCTCTCTCTCTCTCTCTCTCTCTCTCTCTCTCTCTCTCTTCTTTTCTCTCACCGAACCACTGTTATGAGTTTCCCCTCTATCTCAGGCACCAGGTGGTGCTAACGACCCCTCACCCCTTCCCCTCCACAATAATCCAACCCCCCTCCCTTATCTCCCCTCCCCATATCCATCCCCCTAACCCCTACCCCTATTCTCTTTGTCTTCCCGACCACTTTACATTAATCAGTATTTTAGGTATTAAAGTATTCTTGACTGGTGGTGTACAGGTGACATGTAGCCTTAATGACCCTCGTGTAGTAGATAGTCTTGAAACCCCATTAACCAACCAACCAGCCTTAATGACCCTCGTGTAGTAGATAGTCTTGAAACCCCATTAACCAACCAACCAGTCTTAATGACCCTCGTGTAGTAGATAGTCTTGAAACTCCATTAACCAACCAACCAGCCTTAATGACCCTCGTGTAGTAGATAGTCTTGAAACCCCATTAACCAACCAACCACCTTAATGACCCTCGTGTAGTAGATAGTCTTGAAACCCCATTAACCAACCAACCAGCCTTAATGACCCTCGTGTAGTAGATAGTCTTGAAACCCCATTAACCAACCAACCAGTCTTAATGACCCTCGTGTAGTAGATAGTCTTGAAACTCCATTAACCAACCAACCAGCCTTAATGACCCTCGTGTAGTAGATAGTCTTGAAACCCCATTAACCAACCAACCAGCCTTAATGACCCTCGTGTAGTAGATAGTCTTGAAACCCCATTAACCACCCAACCAGCCTTAATGACCCTCGTGTAGTAGATAGTCTTGAAACCCCATTAACCAACCAACCAGCCTTAATGACCCTCGTGTAGTAGATAGTCTTGAAACCCCATTAACCAACCAACCAGCCTTAATGACCCTCGTGTAGTAGATAGTCTTGAAACCCCATTAACCAACCAACCAGCCTTAATGACCCTCGTGTAGTAGATAGTCTTGAAACCCCATTAACCAACCAACCAGCCTTAATGACCCTCGTGTATAGATAGTCTTGAAACCCCATTAAACCAACCAACCAGCCTTAATGACCCTCGTGTAGTAGATAGTCTTGAAACCCCATTAACCAACCAACCAGTCTTAATGACCCTCGTGTAGTAGATAGTCTTGAAACCCCATTAACCACCCAGTCTTAATAACCACCCTAAACAATACCTTTTAATGTTAAAGGTTACGACACTTGAAGCCTTTAAACCCGGTAAATGTCACTATGTATTAAACTAACTTGTAATAAAATCCAGTAAAGCCTTTTTTCGATCATTGTTTGTTAAGTAAGAGCTGGGATAATAAGGCCTTTTAATAAATAAGTTCAGAAGCGAGGCTTTTATTCCAAGTGAAACCTACCCCAGACACGCCTGGTTAATTATCTGTTCGTAAAAGGCTTCCGAGGTGTACCATGAGAGAGGGTTTTTTCAGCTGAGGTTAAAAATGTTCCTTGTATGGCAAGTGTATTATACTTTGTGTGTGTGGGGGGGGGAGGTGTATTTTTCGGTGTTTTGTTGTTTGTTTGTGTTGGGAAGCAGTGTGTGTGTGTGTGTGTGTGTGTGTGTGTGTGTGTAGTGTGTGTGTGGTGTGTGTGGTGTGTGTGTGTGTGTGTGTGTGTGTGTGTGTATGTGTGTGTGTGTGTGTGTGTGTGTGTGTGTTGTGTGTGTGTGTGTGTGTGTGTGTGTGTGTATGTGTGTGTGTGTGTGTGTGTGTGTGTGTGTGTATGTGTGTGTGTGGTGTGTGTGTGTGTGTGTGTGTGTGTGTGTGTTGTGTGTGTGTGTGTGTGTGTGTGTGTGTGTGTGTGTGTGTGTGTGGGTGTGTGTGTGTGTTGGTGTGTGTCACACTCACACACACACACATTCAATTCGGCCAAATGCAGAGTCATGGAGATTGGGGAGGGGCAAAGAAGACCGCAGACAGAGTATAGGCTAGGTGGACAAAGACTACAGACCTCACTCAGGGAGAAAGACCTTGGGGTGACCATAACACCGAGCACATCACCGGAGACACACATCAACCAAATAACCGCTGCAGCATACGGGCGCCTGGCAAACCTGAGAATAGCGTTCCGATACCTTAATAAGGAATCGTTCAAGACACTGTACACTGTGTATGTTAGGCCCATACTGGAGTATGCAGCACCAGTCTGGAACCCACACCTGGTCAAGCACGTCAAGAAGTTAGAGAAAGTACAAAGGTTTGCAACAAGGCTAGTCCCAGAACTCAAGGGAATGTCGTACGAGGAAAGGTTAAGGGAAATCGGACTGACGACACTGGAGGACAGAAGGGTCAGGGGAGACATGATAACGACATACAAGATACTGCGGGGAATAGACAAGGTGGACAGAGATAGGATGTTCCAGAGAGGGGACACAGGGACAAGGGGTCACAACTGGAAGCTGAAGACTCAGACGAGTCACAGGGACGATAGGAAGTATTTCTTCAGTCATAGAGTTGTCAGCAAGTGGAATAGCCTAGCAAGTGAAGTAGTGGAGGCAGGAACCATACATAGTTTTAAGAAGAGGTATGACAAAGCTCAGGAAGCAGAGAGAGAGAGGACCCAGTAGCGATCAGTGAAGAGGCGGGGCCAGGAGCTGAGTCTCGACCCCTGCAACCACAATTAGGTGAGTACAATTAGGTGAGTACACATACACACACATACACACACACAAACACACATACACACACACACACACACACACACACACACACACACACACACACAACACACACACACATACACACACGTACACACACACACGTAAGATAGCTCTACATAACACTGTTCTAACACCACATAACACTGTTCTAACACCACATAACACTGTTCTAACACCACATAACACTGTTCTAACACCACATAACACTGTTCTAACACCACATAACACTGTTCTAACACCACATAACACTGTTCTAACACCACATAACACTGTTCTAACACCACATAACACTGTTCTAACACCACATAACACTGTTCTAACACCACATAACACTGTTCTAACACCACATAACACTGTTCTAACACCACATAACACTGTTCTAACACCACATAACACTGTTCTAACACCACATAACACTGTTCTAACACCACATAACACTGTTCTAACACCACATAACACTGTTCTAACACCACATAACACTGTTCTAACACCACATAACACTGTTCTAACACCACATAACACTGTTCTAACACCACATAACACTGTTCTAACACCACACTAACACATAACACCACACATAACACTGTTCTAACACCACATAACACTGTTCTAACACCACATAACACTGTTCTAACACCACATAACACTGTTCTAACACCACATAACACTGTTCTAACACCACATAACACTGTTCTAACACCACATAACACTGTTCTGACACCACATAACATTGTTCTGACACTGTCAAAAAGGGGTACCAGTATAAAGCGATCCTTTACTGACAACATTTCGCCATACAGTGAGTTTTATCAAGACACAAACACATGTAACTGGGTAAAGAGAGTCAGGTGGGGCATGTTGGGTAGGATGGATCTGAGAGGAAACTGCATCAGACACTCCAGAAGCCGGGTACATACCCTCGTCATCTCACCCAGAAAGATACTTTTGAGAGGAGGTACATAGTCCTGCCCATCAGCTCCCTTGCCAAACACTTTTCTAGCATCGTTTCCAATACCTTGTTCCAAGTGTTTATATCTCCACATCGATCATTAACGACATCACCAGTAAGAGACACCACCGGGTTCAATCCTCTGCAGGGGTATACATGATTCCTTGTAATGATTCAAACCTTACGTGGGTGAGACAGAGTCCTCCAAACACGTATTTCCGAACACCAGTATGCAGGCAGAACACCAGTACACAGGCAGAACACCTGTGCACAGGCAGAACACCAGTATGCAGGCAGAACACCAGTATGCAGGCAGAACACCTGTGCACAGGCAGAACACCTGTGCACAGGCAGAACACCAGTATGCAGGCAGAACACCAGTATGCAGGAAGAACACCGGTACGCAGGCAGAACATCAGTACGCAGGCAGAACGCCTGTATGCAGGCAGAACACCGGTACGCAGGCAGAACATCAGTACGCAGGCAGA